CCTTTAGACAGAGTCTTTGTCTGCAAACCCTCTACAACTCGTGAAATGTTCATTCAAATCTAAACTTGGATCGTGCATTAAAATTTCAAGACTTTACAGGTTTTGTTTGTATTTAAATTACAATGGCAATTAGCCAAGTGACATGGATCAGCTTACTGATAATTACTAATAATTAGAACGTTTAACGGCTTGCCACGCGGGGCTCATTAGAACAAGCTTTGTGTTGATGATGGTTTGTCAGTTCCTGTCATCGATGATTTATTTTCAAATCAAAGAAATGCTTGTTTTTTTATTTAATTTTTCTGTGACTGCTTTGGTTAAGTCCATTATTGTTATGCAATGTTGTGTAAACACAATGGATGTTTACAACCCAGCATGCCATATGGCTTTTTTATTTAAGATGGAGAGACTGTGTGACAAGATGGTGGGTTGTTGAAGTCTGTGGCGGGGGCAAACCTTTCAAGGAGGATGTAATAAATAATTTTTTAGAGTTTTATTCTTATCAATCTCATTACTATACACCCAATTTCCCCTCACTTGTTTTGTTATCCTCTAGTGCAACAAACAAAATTGCTAGTCCCATCTTTGTCTTGTAAGTCACATCCACTGGCAGTTAATATACACCAGTGCCTTCAATAACCTTTTAATTAGACATTTAAAAAAGATTTTGGATTTTGATGACAATCTATTAAATAATATTTTGTGACCTCATTTGTGATAATTTTCATATTAATCTGACCATATTTTTCATAATTTTTTTCAAATATGGTTAACACTTTTATATCCTTATTTGTTGTGAAAATGACCCTAATTATTGTCAAATTATATCTTAATCTGAGTCTGTCATCATAGTGTAGGGTGCAGGGTATATACAGTCAAACCTCATTAAATCGAACCTTGGAGATTGTGTTGTGACTTGAGATATCCGAACATGCCAGATAACGAGGCCTAAATAACGATTGCATATATGAGAAATTAAAAACACAACATGTGTATGTGATGACAAACTAAAATGTATTTCTCCGGCAATGTTAAATATTAATTGTGACAATTATATACAGTGTATACCTTTTAAGGCACAGCAGCAATCACTACTTAGTGTGTCCTCTTGACAAAACGGCCATCATATAGCTGGAATATTGCAGAGTGTAGCGTTAAACAACAACAACAACAACAAAAATGGACAAAAACAACAAAGTGCCACCCTTGCCTTATGTTTGTAAACTCACATCCTGGATATTGTGAGAAGCATCACACATCTTTAATTCCGTTGATCCGACTTTGATTTGCATGTTTTGATATAACCTGGAAGTACCGCCATGTTTTTTACCCATGTCTACTAAAAGCATTTAAATGGCAATAAAGATTACCAAAAGAATTTGATTACTAGATAATTACATAACTGGTTGAACATGTGGTATATATTGCTCTGTACTTTTATAGCGATGTTTGATGTTTGAAGAAAATTAGTAGATATATTTGCGCTTCTGAAAACTTTTAATGTGGCAATGTCATCTTCAAGACAGAGGTACAAAATTCTGTAGTCAAGTCAAAGTTGGGACCCAGTCTAAGGTTCGAGATAGCACTATGTAGTTTTATCTCAAATTTTGGATGAGCGAATGAGCAATTTGATATAATACCCTGGATAAGCGAGGATGATGGACCCATGGCATTCTGGGTAAGAATGTATGTCCTAAGCAATATATGCTGGCTGTGAGAGGCGACTGAATGGAAGGGGTTGTCAGGCTCGCTGACTTGGTTGATGCATGCCATTGTATCTCAATTGCCTAGATCGATGCTCATGATATCCATCAGCATATTGTCTGGTCCAGACTCAATTATTTACAGACCACCGTCATATTGCTGGAATATTGCTAAGTTCGGTGTTAAACAACAAACAAACACATAGCAAAATGTTTGGTGATATATGTTTACTGGGTAAATGCAAGGAACATTTGTAAAGACAAGTTTTAGTGTGTTTTCTTGTCCCTGTATTGATTTAAAGTAACAACACACCAGCGAAGGGTATGTGTTGCACCAGGATCTCATTTTTTTACAAAAGATCAGTTTGAGTTTGATGACCCATGGGTGAATAGTGATTCTGTCCTTATAGTATGTAAGTCTAGATAAGCGGACAGTACTCTAGTCATTTAGACAACATGTTCGTATCATTTACATAATCTAGAACCATAATTTAAACTAATTATTATTACCTCAGAGACTTGTGCAAGTCTAGATTAATGCCAACAAGAAAAGGGCTAATGTGGAGGATGCAGGCTCAGTGTGTGATTGTAGACTGTCGCTCGTCTCCTGTGTCTAGGGCTGTTTATTGGTTACCTGTGATATATATGTTGGGCATGAATTATTTGCAGGTTGAGATGTCAAGATGATGTTTTAGTGAGCAATATGGTTTATCTGACTGAGGTTTAGCATCTGCTTCAGGTGAAGTTTAGTTTCTTGTATTTGTGGAACCTGGGAATGGTTTTGTCTATTTGTCGTGCAACAGAGTGACAGATTTTGTAGTTGCCATGGCAACATTTACCTGTGATATTTTAGTGAAGACATGCAAGTTTAGAAATTCTTTCCTTTCACAGATGGATACCATCAGTTGAGCTGAAATGGTGGTGGGGATAGTTTGGGGAATTGATTGTCAAGTCGTGATTTGTCACATTAATCATTTTGCGTTGTTCTTCTATTTTTCAATGTTTGTTCAGTAAAACTAGATCACATCTAACAAAAGAAGCAAAAGTACTTAATACACGACATTACAGCACTATATATTTCTAAAAAGACCTCCCTCCTTTTTCACTATGTACTTAGAGTGAGTGAGTTTGGTTTAACGCCGCTTTTAACAGTATTCCAGTTATATTGCGACGTGTCAGCTTAATGTGGGAGGAAAGCCCGAAGTGATGCAGGTCTCAGACGTTTACCACTTCAATGAAACCCACGAGCACGGGTATGGTGCTGACAAACCTAGAAACATAATCGGGCCGAACAATCATAGGTTTCTGGCGTGCCCAATGGACGCAACTCTGCACATCAAATTGCGGTGCCTTAGATGACTGGGCCACCCATGCCCCCCTATGTACTAAGAAGTAGGTAGTGTTAGAAATTGGCATGAGGCCTATAGTCCTTGCCAAACTGTCCAATAGTTAAGGTATCATAAGGACCAGTAGAAATTTGCCCCTTTTAAGGTTTCACAACATGTTATGATATCATGATAAGTACTTGTGGACTAAATATGTTAGTTTCTATCGATGAGTAGGCTGTGAATAAACATTCATAATAGATTAGAACAGGTCAAAACTTGAGAAGGGGAAAACTTTGTGTTTGATTATAGCAATTGATTATTGATCGTTTAGACATTGCCATCAGTCTTTGATTATTTCAATTAAATGTATACCGCTAGCAAGGATCACATGGTTACACTGTCTGGCCTGGCTGGTTGTGTGTGATCTCACCCAGGTGTGGAGTGTTGCTCATGCTGTCGACCACTGGGCCAACACGAGCCACCATGTTAACATAGCGATAGTCCTGCAGTCCTTGCCAAGTTGCCAAATGGTTAAGGTATCCTTGAACGAGTAGAAATTTGCCGTTTTTATGGGTTTTGCTGTATGTTATCATTATAAGGACCAGTGAATAACTTAGTATTGTGTATCCATGTGTTTCAGAAGTAAATTTCTGAAGCATTTAATCTGATCAGTTTACAAGTATGTTTAACTATAAATCATTCCACAAACTGCATCCTTGGAGATTGTAGGGCTCGGTACAGGTAAACACGAAGTCTTCTTACAGAACAGATATATTTTTTATAATTCCCCCATTCTATCGTCCCCCCTTCCCAGCTCTAGCAGCCTTTACTCATTACCTTTCAGTTCCCTACTGTAAGAGCCTTGAGGATTCCTTCATGGAGTTATGTTTATTTAAACTTTATTTTTAACTTATTTCTGGGACCTAGTATACACCTAGTATACAGTAGGCTGCAGAGTTGCCAGGAATGTGTGGCAATCGCTGGTGTAGCAGATGCCTCGCTGCAAGCTGTCGTCATGAAGTTGTCGTTGATACAGTTAATTATCGGGATGAGGATGCACATATATCAGGTTTCCCTGGTTCGGATCGTGTATATTATAAAGTATGGATTGATGGTGAAGTAGTGAACAGGTGTAGGTCCGTGTTCAAACATCAACTGTACTAACTCTCATCAACCACTTTACCAAGGCTAGTAAATTGTCAAATTGTGTTGAGGCCAAACCAGGTCATGTACTTGTATTGTGTGTGGTGATAAGAGAAAGATGTCTTCGTGCCTTAGCTAAGTTTAATCACCATTATAGTGGCTGTTCACAAGAGAGTTGCTGTGTCATGTGCCTGCACTCAGCAGCTTGCTAGAGAGAGTTATCTCCCCTATAATTGCTAAGGCCCTTCAAATGTTGGGCCCCACTTAGGGTTTAACTAATACCACATAGTGGATGACCAATCCTTAATTTTTGGAAAGTAAACAATAATAATTTATTTGAATATTTTGTAAGACAACACTTTCTTTCTTGTTTTCATTTAAATGTTATTTTGAGAGGTATTTATGATGGAAAATTAACATGATTAAATGCAAACTGTAATTATTTGTTCTGCCAAAGGACAGTGTTTTGATTGGATTGCTATTTTTAGCATTGTGTCAGTTGAATCTATACACAAAGATATGGTGGGGAATGGGTCCTGGGTGTTAATACAGTAGAATGGAGATGTATTGTACGCTGGATAATCAGTGATGAATCCAGGTACTATGAACTCTCCAGTTTGACGGAAACAAGACAATATTACTGGCTAGCAAATGGACATGGTATGGCGTTCACCTGTGGCTGTTTTGGGGACTGCTCGATCAGTTGTTTATTTTCAGTTGCTATACTTGCCAGTCAAAGATCTGCTTGTATGAGCTTTCAGAAAAATATTTCATTACTCAGTGAAAAGTTTTGCCGAGTCTTCAAATCTTATTTTTCATTTTTCAGAACTTTTGCCCGGCATTGAAGAATTCCTTGTGAAGACTCTTGCTGGGGAAAACCTTTCGTCTGCTGCTGAGGAGAAGCGTCTTTATTTCGTCGAGCGTCTTGATATTCTCAAACTCCCGCCTTCCATCCCACCGCGACCAAGTAAGTCTCAGGGACCTTTGTAAAACACTCATTGAAAAACGAATCATAATATTGTAATGAAGATTCTATTAAGAAATTATAAGTACTGCAACTATCGAAAACCTAGGGAAAATATGAAATTATGAATTGCAAGATACATACATTTTACATGATAGACTGTTTCAGACGAGTGGCATATATTTTTTCCTGTAAATGTTACATTAAACATGCTTTGGATAATAGCTTGTAAAAACACCTAAGCTAGGTAAACCTCCTGTCCTCGCCATTTATGAATTGATAAACTTTTGTATTACAGATAGGAAGTCATCATCGGAGCTCGTAGAAGAGGATGAAGCTCCAGTAGAGGAGGGGAATGATGTAACTGACACTGCAGAGCAGCCTCAAGACTTCGCAGCTTACCAGAGAGAAATCTCCCGCAACCTCCTGACCACTGTCGTCCCACACGTCGAGGTCTCCGACTCCGAATCAGAACAGGTATCTCCAAAGCAGTCTTTCCTCGGGATGAAACGGTGTACTGGTGCATCGTGAGATTACGTGTGACGATACGATATACGATACATCTTTGTCTGTATCCGTACAAGATGGTACACTTGCTAAAACAAATTAATCACCATTTCGTTTTATCACCCCCAGTGTTTTTGTCAGTCAAGTATTGCAAAATGTGTTGTAATTGGAGTTTCAAGTTCACTGATGAAAATTACCACCACGAACATGTGTCTCCAGCTAGTTTTTCCTTTTGAACCTGCGATGTATTTTTTATTGTCAAGACATTTCCACGGAATTTGACTTATATATGAGTATCGCAATACGTATCGTATCGTGACCTTTGTGTTGTGATACGTATGATATCTTGACCTTGCTGTATTGTTGACAGATGTTGTTGATAGATGCATTGTTGATAGATGTTGTTGATAGATATACTGTTGATAGATGTTGTGGTAGATATTGTTGGTAGATTTTGTTGACAGATATTGTTGACAGATAAGCTATCTGTGTTGCAGGGAGTGAAGGTGTATGATGACATTGACATTGAAGAACATCTGGACGGGTAAGTTCATCTCCCTCACTTTAACATAGGCTGTGACAGTCATAGCTCTAAGACGATCATAACTTACTTACTTTAACATAGACTTATGACAGTCATAGCGCTAAGACGATCGTAACTCACATACTGTACTATAGACTTATAACAGTCAGAGTGCTAAGATAATCATAATTTACTTACTTTAACATAAGATTATGACAGTCGTCGCATTAAGACGATCTAAACTCCCATACTGTCACATAGACCTATGACAGTCATAGCGCTAAGACGATCGTAACTCCCATACTGTCACATAGACTTAAGACAGTCATAGTGCTAAGACGATCGTAACTCCCATACTGTCACATAGACTTATAACAGTCATAACGCTGTGACGATCATAACTCAGATACTACAACATAGACTTATGACAGTCATAGTGCTAAGATTATCTAAACTCCCATACTTTAACATAGACTTATAACAGTCATAACGCTGTGACGATCATAACTCAGATACTACAACATAGACTTATGACAGTCATAGTGCTAAGACGATCTAAACTCCCATACTTTAACATAGACTTATAACAGTCATAACGCTGTGACGATCGTAACTCAGATACTACAATATAGATTTTTAACAGTCATAGCGCTAAGACGATCCTTACTCCCATACTTTAACATAGACTTATAACAGTCATAACGCTGTGACGATCGTAACTCAGATACTACAATATAGACTTATGACAGTCATAGCGCTAAGACGATCTAAACTCCCATACTTTAACATAGACTTATAACAGTAAAACGCTGTGACGATCGTAACTCAGATACTACAATATAGATTTTTGACAGTCATAGCGCTAAGACGATCGTAACTCCCATACTTTTAACATAGACTTATAACAGTCATAACGCTGTGACGATCGTAACTCAGATACTACAATATAGATTTTTGACAGTCATAGCGCTAAGACGATCGTAACTCCCATACTTTAACATAGACTTATAACAGTCATAACGCTGTGACGATCGTAACTCAGATACTACAATATAGACTTATGACAGTCATAGCGCTAAGACGATCTAAACTCCCATACTTTAACATAGACTTATAACAGTCATAACGCTGTGACGATCGTAACTCAGATACTACAACATAGACTTATGACAGTCATAGCGCTAAGACGATCTAAACTCCCATACTTTAACATAGACTTATAACAGTCATAACGCTGTGACGATCGTAACTCAGATACTACAATATAGATTTTTGACAGTCATAGCGCTAAGACGATCGTAACTCCCATACTTTAACATAGACTTATAACAGTCATAACGCTGTGACGATCGTAACTCAGATACTACAATATAGACTTATGACAGTCATAGCGCTAAGACGATCTAAACTCCCATACTTTAACATAGACTAATGACAGTCATAGTGCTAAGACGATCGTAACTCCCATACTGTCACAGTGGGTAACGGGTATTTCTGTCTGCAGACAAGACGATGAAGATAAAGATGAACAGGACCTGTATGAGATTCCAGTGGCTCGGCTCCAGCTGTCGGAAGATAGTGCGGGCCAACAGTCAGGTGACCGATCCAGTCTGGCCACTGCCGCCAGCCTGGATGAACTTGCAGAGGAGGTGGCCGACATCCCCGTACCCCCGCCCCTTCCACCTCGGCGCGACCGAACTTCCTCCGATCTGACCACCTCGGGGGGCGATGACAAGCCCCCGGATCTCCCAGCCCGCCCCCCTCCCAAGATGGACGTCTACGATAAGAGTGATAAATCTGAGAAGAGCGATAGGTCTGACCATACAGAGTACACACTAGGTAGGTGAAGTCTAGAAACACAAGTCTCTCCAGGTGGCCCAGTTGTCTAAGGCGTCACAATTTGCTGTTCAGAGTTGCATCCCTTGGGCACGCCTTAACATATGATCTAAGGTTCGAATCACAGTTCACCCTGATTATGTTTTTAGGTTTGTCAGCACCATACCCATGCTCATAGGTTTCACCTGAGCGGTAGACATCTTTCCTCCCACATAAAGCATGGCGTGACATAACCGTAATACTGTTCAAAGCATATGTAAAAAAGAACTCTCCCTCAGTGATCTGTTGGACAAAAAGATGTCATTGATATTTGATTATTGCTGTGATTGTTGTGGTCTACTGGTGTATAAGGATCCATTTTGATCCTCTCCGTTCAGAATAGCCTCCCTTAGTGGTGCCAGGAACTGCTGATTCTGCGTTCAGATTGGCCCTCGTGTTTATCCTTAGTTTGTCAATATGACTTTGGGCTTTCACTCAGTACACTGACATGCATAGATGTAACTCGATCCACGCAATTGGGATACAATGACATGCATCATCCAAGTCAGCGAGCCTGACCATCCGATCCCGCTAGTCGCCTCCAAAGACAAGCAAAGTTACCTCTTACGGCAAGCATGGGTTGCTGAAGACCTATTCTAACCCAGATCTTCACAGGTCTAGCAGCAAGTAACCCATTTAATTCCAAATTTGTCTCCCCAACAAGCTTATTAGTAAACGTGTTGTCCAGAGGAGCAAAGATTAACTTTTTATGTAATTTGAATTTTAGATCAAATTTAGATCCCGTTTGTCAGGAGGCTGGGGAAGGTGACTTGTGTAGAAATGTAGAGTAATGACTTTAAAGCAAGGTAAGGGGCGGTGGGGTAGTCTAGTGGTTAAAGCGTTCGCTCGTCACGCCGAAGACCCGGGTTTGATTCCCCACATGGGTACAATGTGTGAAGCCCATTTGTGGTGTCCCCCCGCCATGATATTGCTGGAATATTGCTAAAAGCGGCGTAAAACAATACTCACTCACTCACTAAAGCAGGGTAATAACTACACTCAACTCATCCCCACCAATCAAGACACTCCTCCAAACAGTTTAAATACACCTCACCATTTTTATTTGTCATTAAGCCCAATAGGTCCTTACATTCGTAAGTGATGTCCCAAGTGAGTATTGCTTGAATGACTACACAAGAACTGACTGCTTCCATTGGAGTGCACTCAGGCAGTTAGGTGACTGTTCAACTCACAATTATGAGGTCGACAATGGTTGACTTTCACATTTAGATATTTATGATCGCTTGTTAACTGGAGTAGAAGTTCAACATTTGCCTTTGGATTCCATAGAAGTGAATGAAAACAGGCTTGGCATAAAGGCATATTTTTTATGACCACAATAATTTCAGTAGTTTATTCAATCATTCACAATGACATTTCCGTGTCTGTCTGTCACCATCTGCACTTGGAGAAGAGTGCAATACCTTCAGTCGGGGAGACATCTGCGTTATACAGGGATGGCTTCTAGCTTGTCGTTGGGTTGTCTCCCCATGGCTGGGTGTATGCTGGGTCTAGCTATTGCTTATGTCAAAGTGTACTGGTAGGTGTTAGCGATAAGACCATCGTAACTGTATGTAATAGTTGTAGGCTGCACAAAGTGATATTTGAGTTATGACCATCTTAACTGGTCGTAATAGTGGTAGGCGAACAAAGTGTTGTTAGAGCTGAGACCATCGTAACTGCACGTAAAAATGGTAGGCTGAACGAAGTATTATTAGAGCTACAACCATCGTAACTGCACGTAGTAGTGATAGGCGAACAAAGTGTTGTTAGAGCTACAACCATCGTAACTGCACGTAATAGTGGTAGGTGAACAAAGTGTTGTTAGAGCTGCAACCATCATAACTGCATGCAATAGTCATAAGCTGAACAAAGTGTTTTTAGCGTTACGACCATCGTAATTGCTCGTAATCATCGTGAGCTGAACAAGGTGTTGTTAGAGCTACGACCATCGTAATTGCTCGTAATCATCGTGAGCTGGACAAGGTGTTGTTAGAGCTACGACCATCGTAATTGCTCGTAATCATCGTGAGCTGAACAAGGTGTTGTTAGAGCTACGGCCATTGTAACTGCACATAATAGTCGTAAGCTGAACAAAGTGTTACGACCATCGTAACCACACCTAAAAGTGGTAGGCGAACAAAGTGATGTTGGAGCTGCAACCATCTTAACTGCTTGTAATAGTCGTAAGCTGAACAAAATGTTGTTAGAACTGCAACCATCCTAACCACACCTAAAAGTGGTAGGCGAACAAAGTGATGTTGGAGCTGCAACCATCTTAACTGCTTGTAATAGTCGTAAGCTGAACAAAATGTTGTTAGAACTGCAACCATCGTAACCACACCTAAAAGTGGTAGGCGAACAAAGTGATGTTGGAGCTGCAACCATCTTAACTGCTTGTAATAGTCGTAAGCTGAACAAAATGTTGTTAGAACTGCAACCATCGTAACCACACCTAAAAGTGGTAGGCGAACAAAGTGATGTTGGAGCTGCAACCATCTTAACTGCTTGTAATAGTTGTAAGCTGAACAAAATGTTGTAAGAGCTGCAACCATCGTAACTGCTTTTAATAATGTAAGGCTGAACAAAGTGATGTTAGAGCTACGACCATCTTAACTGCTTGTAATAGTTGTAAGCTGAACAAAATGTTGTAAGAGCTGCAACCATCGTAACTGCACGTAATAATGGTAGGCTGAACAAAGTGATGTTAGAGCTACGACCATCGTAACTGCACGTGATTATGGTAGACTGAACAAAGTGATGTTAGAGCTACGACCATCGTAACTGCACGTAATAGTTGTAGGCTGAACAAAGTGTTGTTAGAGCTACGACCTTCGTAACTTGTCATAATAGTCGTAAGCTGAACAAAGTGTTGTTAGAGCTACGACCACTGTAACTGCACGTAATGGTGGTAGGCTGAACAAAGTGATGTTAGAGCTACGACCATCGTAACTGCACGTAATAATGGTAGGCTGAACAAAGTGATGTTAGAGCTACGACCATCGTAACTGCATGTAATAATGGTAGGCTGAACAAAGTGATGTTAGAGCTACGACCATCGTAACTGCACGTAATAATGGTAGGCTGAACAAAGTGATGTTAGAGCTATGACCATCGTAACTTGTCATAATAGTCGTAAGCTGAACAAAGTGATGTTAGAGCTACGACCATCGTAACTGCATGTAATTATGGTAGGCTGAACAAAGTGATGTTAGAGCTACGACCATCGTAACTGCACGTAATAATGGTAGGCTGAACAAAGTGATGTTAGAGCTACGACCATCGTAACTGCATGTAATAATGGTAGCCTTGACAAAGTGTTGTTAGAGCTACGACCATCGTAACTGCACGTAATAATGGTAGGCTGAACAAAGTGATGTTAGAGCTACGACCATGGTAACTGCACGTAATGGTGGTAGGCTGAACAAAGTGATGTTAGAGCTACGACCATCGTAACTGCACGTAATAATGGTAGGCTGAACAAAGTGATGTTAGAGCTACGACCATCGTAACTGCACGTAATAATGGTAGGCTGAACAAAGTGATGTTAGAGCTACGACCATCGTAACTGCACGTAATAATGGTAGGCTGAACAAAGTGATGTTAGAGCTATGACCATCGTAACTTGTCATAATAGTCGTAAGCTGAACAAAGTGATATTAGAGCTACGACCATCGTAACTGCATGTAATTATGGTAGGCTGAACAAAGTGATGTTAGAGCTACGACCATCGTAACTGCACGTAATAATTGTAGGCTGAACAAAGTGATGTTAGAGCTACGACCATCGTAACTGCATGTAATAATGGTAGCCTGGACAAAGTGTTGTTAGAGCTACGACCATCGTAACTGCACGTAATAATGGTAGGCTGAACAAAGTGATGTTAGAGCTACGACCATCGTAACTGCATGTAATAATGGTAGCCTGAACAAAGCGTTGTTAGAGCTACGACCATCGTAACTTGTCATAATAGTCGTAAGCTGAACAAAGTGTTGTTAGAGCTACGACCATCGTAACTGCATGTAATAATGGTAGGCTGAACAAAGTGATGTTAGAGCTACGACCATCGTAACTGCGCGTAATAGTTGTAGGCTGAACAAAGTGATGTTAGAGCTACGACCATCGTAACTGCGCGTAATAGTTGTAGGCTGAACAAAGTGTTGTTAGAGCTACAGCCATCATGACCACACGGAATAGTCATAAACTTATATCTTCTCCATCATGAAGAACTGTGACAATTATCTTCAGGACATTTTGGATGATAATCAGTCAGTGTGGAAGGTATTGAACTGATCTGAAACCCAGTCATCATAATTATCATCTCATTACCACGTCAATAGTTGTGGTAACCGCAGTTGCAGTTATTAAGCAGTAGAGCATTATATTAATATTATATAAATATTGCAATACTGTACGTGAAATAAAGATTCTTTAGAATGTCAACGCTCAGTGAGAACATCGTCTCTGTGTGTTACGTGCAGAACACAGGGTTGATTGATGACAGCCGTTATGAAAAACTTACCAAATATAGAAAAACATACAATGAAATTAAGGGGAAGAAATAGTTTCATTGTGAGTCATGTTGGGAGCTGTTGACAATGTTTGCAAGAAATAAATTCAGTGTTAGTCAGCTGCAGCCTGTCTCCATGTTCGGCCTGGGGCAGGATGGCTGTCGTGACATATTACCGATGATAAAATGATATAATCAAGATTTACACTTTAGAAGTTTATGGCTCATAATTTGATATTGTTTTGTTCATCAATTTCAAGAGCATTTGTAAACATTGCAGATGGTAATCAGTGATTGAGATAACTTGTTAAGGTGGTATTGAGAAGTCGGTATGATGAACAAGGGAGAGAGTTCTCCTCACCTTGTAATATTGTTATGAAGCCAGGTTAGTCTCAATCATTGGAATTATTACTTTTTGAGAATCTACTTATGGATTGACTGGTTTTTTTTTCTG